AGTCACTTAACCCCATTGCCTAGCCAAAAAAAACAACCTCCCCCCAAAAAAACCAACCAAACAAAAAACACAATGCTCAATGGCAAGAGAAAGCAATGCCAGGACACCAGATAATATAGATTAGGACTGGACAAGGCCCAGACATTCCTTCCATAAATACAAAAGCCTAACTCTGACACAAAATCTCAATTCAAAAGTAATATTGGAAAAATAGATAAAGAAAAAAAGATTATAAATAATAATACAGATTATAAATCCAGGTAACCCAAGACATAAACTTTGAAGAAAAGAATATCTCCATAACAACTGCAAGTCTCAAACAAATACACAGTTTGGCCACAAGATCAACTAGAATTTTAAAAATGATATAAATTAAATGAGAGCTCTTGAGGAAAGATTTGGAAGGAAAATTAATAGCAAATCCTTAACCAGGTAACAAACAATGAAAATGAGAATGTATAAAACAGTACTCAGTAACTCCATGGGACACCTAGAAATAAAAAACAAAATAAAAAACCCTAAAACATAGAAGAAAATGTAAAGCATTTCAATTAAAGGAGGAAAAAAGCTAAAATTCATTGGACTAACTAAAAACTATGAACAAAAAAGAGCTTGAATACCATATCGCAAAAATGAAATGAATGAATTTTCATGAATGAAAATGTCCACACCTATTAGAAACAGAGGGCAAAGTGAAAACAGAAAGAATCATTGCTGGAAACTCTCAGGAAGGTCATGGCCAAAATATAGAGCTTTCAGATCAAAGAAGAAGAAAAAAAAACACTTCCAAGCAGTTGAAAGAAAGAGGAATCATAGTCCAAAACATATACCATGATAAAGGCCAAGAGAATTTGGAATATAATATTCCAAAAGGCAAAAGATAAATGCTTACAATCACTTACACGGGAAAAATAAGCCTTTGAGAGAAAAAAATGGACCTCTAATGAAATAGAGGAATTTCAAGTATTCCTAATAAAAAGACCGAAGTTATATAGAAACACTGAGGAATCAAAAGGAAAATGAAAGGTAAACTTATTGTTGTTCAGTTGTTTTAGTTGTCTCTGACCCCATTTGGGGTTTTCTTGACAAAGATGCTGGAGTAGTTTGCCATTTCCTTCGCCAGCTCATTTTTTAGATGAGGAAACTGAGGCAAATAGGGTTAAGTGACTTGCCTAGAGTCACACAACTAGTAAGTATCTGAGGCTGGATTTGAACTCTGGAAGATGAGTCTTCACGATGGCAGGCCCAGCACTCTATCCACTATTCAACCAGCTGCTCTAAAAAGTTAAATGTGGTTGAACAATTAGAAGGAGTTGCTCGAGGATGAAGTATTTACATTCAAATATGGAGATGAGAAAAATATGTTTCCTGAGAACCCTAATGTTATCAAAAATCATCGAAGGAATTAATTAGACAAAGGGTCTAGGATTAGTTTTCCTATGCTTTGAAAATCTTAAAAGAAGAGTGAATAGGGAGGGAAAGAGAACTCAAGAGAGAGGAAAAGAGAAAGGAAGGGGAGGGGGAATTTACTATCTCACAAAATCCAGGTGTGTAAGAAAATTATTGTACAAAGTTGGAGGAAGATATAAAAGGAGTTGGCATTACAGGAGCCTCATTTTCATCTGAACCAGTTAAGAAACACATACACACTAACACAGATTTTGGTGTGTAAAAATAAATTCAACACAATAGGGAAACAGGAAGTGGGAGAGAGATAAGGAATAAGAGGAAGGTTGATTCTGGAAGTTTAGTTGAAAAGGTAAAACTCTGTGGCAGATCGTGAAGGGATATTAAAAGGAAAGAAAAAAAAGGATAAGAACCTGTGATTGGCATCTGGGTGAAGGAAAGAGAAGAAGGGCAGGGGAATGGAAACAGATTGCTGCAGTATATATCATTAGTGCTGAGAATACTTCTATTTCGCCACCCCCTTCTTCGTAAAGAGCGGGATAAGGCAGAGCAAAGTGAGGAAAAATATAAGACATTAGGATGGAGGAAAATATGACAGTGATCCTAACTATGAATGTGAATAGGATGAATTCACTCCCAAAATGGAAGAACATAATAAAATGGATTAGAAAGCAGAATCCAACAAATACAGTGTTTACAAGAAACATTCTTGAAACAAAGTTTCACAGAAAGCTAAAATAAGGGACTGTAGCTAAATCTGTTATACTTCAACTGAATTTAAATGGCAGGGGTGGTAATCATGATCTCAGGCAAGACAACAGCAAAAATAGAATTGATTTGAGAGTTATAAACAAAGAAACTACATAATGCTTAAAGGCACCAAAACCAATTACAATATCGATATTTAACCTACATAGGTTGGAATGTCTAAAAGCATAAAATTTCAACGTGTTATAATGAAAAATAGTAAAACTACAGTCGTTGGGAACTCAAATGTACTTCCTTCCAGACGTTGGCAAAGCTAACAAAAATAATAAGAAATAAGTTAAGGACACTAACAGAATTTTAGATCTAACTTAGATATGATAGATCTCTGACAATTACTGGGTGGAAACTGAAAGGGACATATATTTCTTAGCAATGCATGGTATCTTTACAAAATTTGACCATGTTTTTGGGCATAAAAATCTAAAAAAGCAAATATAGAGAAGCAAATATATTAAACACATCCCTTGCTTACTACAATGCAATAAAATTATATTCAGTAAGGGCCATTGAAGAAAGAATTAGAAATTAATTGGAGATTAAAAGTTAATCCTAAAGAATTGCTGGGTCAAAGAACAAATCATAGAAATTATAATTTTATCAAAGAAAATGATAATGAGAAAACAACTCTTGGGATACTGAAAGTTGTCAGGAGAAAATTTATGTCTCTTAATACTTTGACAAATGAGAGAAAGAACAGACCAATGAATTTTGCATTCAACTAAAAAAAAATGCTAGAAAAGCATACACACACACAAAAAAAGCAAAAACAAATTGATACCAAAATGGAAATTCTGAAAAACCAAAGAAATAAATATCAAAAGTCAATCTAAATTATTAAGCACCTACCATGTGTCAAGCACTATGCTAAGTACTGGGGATAAAAAGAATGGTAAAAGACAGTTCTTGCAGTCTAGTGGGATAGACAACATGCAAACAATTATATTTAACATGACAAACTGGAAATAATCCACAGAGAGAAGGCACTAGAATTAAGGGGGATCACAACAAGCTTCCTATTGAAGGTAGGATTTTTAGTTGGGATTTGAAGGAAGTCAGAGAGACCTTAGTGACAACTTCTTGTCATCTTTGAGTGCATGCTAAAGTGAACTCTGTCACGTTGTTTACCTCTCCAAAGTGACTCTGGGAGCCATCCTACCATTTTGGTTTTGATTATGTCAAAACTATCAAGTAGGATGCCCATTTGGCGAGATCTCACGTTTAGAGCACTAACAGCAAAGTGAGAATTTATAGATGCCTTAAAAACAATTATTCTTAGCACCTCCTGTTCCCATCTCTGCCACTCTGTCACCATCACCGTGGAAATTGAAGGGGGCCATACATGCCTTAAGGCCATTTCGTATTTTAGTATGTTTCGTGGGTTTCTGTGGCCTATGTATTCCCTACCAAGTGACTAACCTATTATAATGAGCCTTTCCATACATTGCTAGGCTTGTTCTCCGAAAGCAGGCTTGCTCTGTTGGCTGGAACCATGCTCAAAGCTTTTACACCATGCTGGACTGGCATTGCCTTGGAAAATCTGGGGTTAGCACCACTCCATGATGAAGCATCAAAGTAGCATTTTGAACAGGACTAAGAAAATAAAATATATGGCTTACATTGATTGTTACAGGAGAAATTTAAAATTTAGGCAGTCCTTGTGTGTCAAAGCTATAATACATTCAGTATGGAAATCCTTATACATTTGGTTCCCATTCTAATCGGTGTTACCATATCCCTTTCTCCAACCCCTTTCCTTGCTCCATTTTCACCTTTTTTACATTACTCAATGTGCAATGGTTACTTAACATCTCTGTAGTTTGAAAAATGATGGCCAATTTTTTTTTTTGAAATTTTTCTTCCTTAAGAAAGGATTTTCATCACCTTAAGGTAAATTTTACATAAAGGATGGCAGAGGCACTCAGAAGGATAGGAGTGTTGTTTAGGTTTATGCAGTAATTTGTGTCAGAGTTAGTTTAACAACAAGAACAACAACTGAGAGCTGCTATATTCCTGGTAGATCCCAGTGCTTTTGACAATCTGTTTGCTCCCAGTAAATTAGACATTGCAGATACAGCATATCAGGCAAACTTAACAGAAGTTGCATAGAAGCTAACTTCTACACTGCAGGAAGTTCTTCTGGGAAGGCTTTGTTTCCTTTCCTGAATTTTAAGAAAACCAAAAACTTCCTCTTAGTGGGCTAATGCAGTGTTTACACAAAACTGTGGTTGTTGTCCTTTGAAATAGAACATGTCTGAGAAGCAAGCCTTCTCAAGTCTGTTTCTGACAGTGTTTTCTATCACTGTTCTCTCAGTCACTCAAGCTCAAAATCTGTCGGAAAAACCACTGGACTTGAAGCTGCAAGAAAACTGAGTCTGAATCCAGGGTCTAACATGTTAGCTGTGTGAAGCTGGACAAATCACACCTAACCTCTGCAATTCCGTTTTCTAATCTTTGAAGTGGGTATGTAATTACTTATGCTATTTACCTTACAGCAGAGGTTCCACACTCAAGGATCTCCCATCTTTCTTGAGGAGTGCATTTGCTTCTAAACAGGACTCTCCATTTTTGTTCTCTCCCTTTTTCCACACTACCACTACACACCACCATCAGATCATTTACCCTTAAAACACTGATTTTTAAACTTCCCATTGTCTCACTGTTATTTAAGATCTTTTCACATTTAGTCAAACGCTATAGGCATAGGCATTCCATAGAATAAAAGATTCATCGGTTTAAAGCTTTGAGGGGACTTTAGATGCCACCAAGTCCAAGCCCCTCATTCTACAGGTGAGGAAACTGAGACACAGAGAAGCAAAATAACTTACCCAGGGTCACATCCAAGGCTGAAGTGTAGCAAAACCAGGTTTTAGATCCAGATCCTCTTTCCACAGTACTGTGCCATATCTTCTAACTGACATATATAGATAAAGATGCAATAAAATAAGGTCAGTGGAGCTGGCCTTGCCAAATTAAGACTCCAGTGAAAATTCTTTTGTTCTAGAATTATAGGTAGGTAGTACCATCAACTTGTAGAACTCACGGAGCCTTTGCTATCATCTGGGCCAATCTCTTTATGGGTAACTTGATCAAAGAAGATTTTTTTATTTCAAGACTGCAGATGAGCCATGAAAGTGAAGGCTTAACCTCAATGGATATGTTGTAAACAATTTGAGTTTTCTTACAGGAAGGACAAGTGACAGCTTTATCTTCAGAGCAGGCATCACTCAGATCTATTTCCTTACCTGCTCTCAAAGTCTCTTATATTAGCTTTGCTGTTTTACTCCCACACAATTTTTAAAACTACTTTTGCTTTCTTTAGGCTTATTTTCATTTTTTCCCCTTAATATTGCTGGTAGCTAGGTAGCACAGTAGATAGAGCACAGGGCTCAGAGTTGAGAAAGATCTGGATTCAAATTCCTAGCGCTGTGACACTGGGCAAGTTACTTAAAATGCTCTCAGCCTCAGTTTCCTCCTCTGTAAAATGGGAATAGCAGTTGCATATATCATACAGGGTTGTCATACAGATCAAATGAGATAATGTATCTAAAGTGCTTTGCACATCTTAAAGCATTATATAAATGCTGGCTATTATTATTGATATTATTGTTTCTCTTGGTGACAGGCACCGTCATGATATGGTCCAAGTGGCAGAACTAATACAGATCTCTTGAGCCAATATTACATTTCCAGAACAGCATTGAAAGCAATGTTAATTTCATTCCATAATCTAATAGTTAATTTAATAATTTAATAGGTTTTTAATAGTTAATTTAATAGTTAATAGTCAATAAATATTTATTAGTCGCCTGCTATATGCTAGGCACTGTGCTAAGCATATGGGTACAAATATAAATAAAAACAGACAATTCTTGACCTCAAAAAGCTTACAGAATAGCACAAGCATGATAAAGTCCAATAATAGTACAGCTCTAATCTGTAGCCAATCAGAGGGGCAGAGAATGCTGATAGAATGTGAGTGCCAAGGCTGATTCCATCTTGCAGACTGATGAGGTCCTTCTCTAGTCTTTAAATCATTCTGCTTGTGGGTGATAAGGAAAGTTATCTAGATATCATTTTAATTTGTTAAATAAAAACACTTTTAGATGTGGACAGTTTCCATTCATTTGTGACTTCAGTAACAGACTAATTAGTCTCAATCATATTGTTGTCAGAAATAAGGAGTAAAGTGAGGTTCTTGTGATTGTTTTGGGTTTTTCTTTTTTTCAAATGGGATCTGTTATTTGTGTAGGTAACTTCCAGTGAGGAAACTCCCTTTACCAATGAAGATCAACAATTGTGCAACAAATTATAGGCTTAACGAGTGGCCAGAGGTTCTGAAAGATTAAGCAAAATCAACTTAAATGGATATAAAATCGTCTTCTGTACCATCAGGATTATTTAAACTGTGTATATAGATCCTCCTCATATCCGAGTTATGTTCAGTGAGTGATTTTGAAGTGCCTCTTAAGAACTTTTGAAAAGGATTTTTACCTTCTGATTTTATTTTGAATTCTTATTTTACTCATGGAAATGCTTCAGTGTTTAAAAACTTAATCAACTCATTCACTGAAGCACTGCTAGCAGTTTTCCCTCTATGTGATGCGGGAGAAAGCAAAGGAGCTTCAGTCATAGTCCTTGCTCTTATAAAATAGTTAAAAGACAATGAATAACCAGAGGGAAATTTAGATAACAGAATACTCAAAAAACAATGTCCATGTTTAGAAAAACAGAGGCAGTTCTGAAGTTCCACACTCTTTGTTGGGGACAGTCAGCATTTAGTGGTTATTACATACATTCTTTTCAGTCACCTTTGTTTTGGCCACATGTAGGTGGCTCAGAGGATAGAGTGCCAGACCTGGAGTCAGAAAAACTAATTTTCCTGAGTCCAAATCTGGCCTCAGATACTTATAAGCTCTGTGACCCTGGGCAAGTCACTTAACCCTGTTTGCCTTAGTTTCCTCAACTATAAAATGAACTGGACAAGGAAATGGAAAACTATCTTGGCAGGAAAACTGGACAAGGAAATGGAAACTATCTTGGCAGGAAAACCCCAAATGGGGAAATGAAGAGTCAGACACAACTAAAATGACTGAGCAACAAAAAAAATATACACATGTATGCCTATGTGTGTATGTATGTATGTATGTATATTATAGGGATCTAGCTGTGTTTTGGGAAGAGTAATCAGTTAGTGATTTGTATAATGGATTAGAACATAGAACAGACTTGTGATTTCATTGGTACAGGAAACTTCTGATGTGGAAATTCTCTTCACCAATGCAGATAGCCTTAGAAAGTTTCATGGGGGCACTAAGAAGTTAAATGATTTATCCAGTCACACAGTATGTGCCAGAAGTAGGACTTGAATCCAGGGCTTCCTGACTTTAAGACTAAGCCAATATGCTATGACAGTAGTATAGGTATAAGTAGAAAATGTCTGCTGGGGGCTAAAGTTCCTTTGATCTTTGTGTTTATCATTTACAATCCTAACAGGATTCAATTAAATGAACATTTAGTAAGTACCTACTATGTACAAGGCACTATGCTGAGTGCTGGAGGACACAAAAACAAAAGGAATACAACATGTAAATAGCTGAAGGAGAATAGTACAATAAAAAGATGCTGGATTTGGAGCCAGTGGACCTGAATCCCAGCTCTTGTTACTTACTGGCTTTATGTCCTTGGACAGTCACTTTTTCTCTCTGGTTCTTAGTTTTCTCATCTATAAAATGATGGGGTTGGACTTGAATACCTCTAAGCTTCTTTTCAGTTCTAAATCTATGGTCTTAAGTTTATAATACAAAGTAACTTGGGGCATGGAAGGAGCTTAAGGAGAACTTGTTTCGTGTTCTGCTGTGTGATCCTGGACAAGTCAAACATCAGGTGCCCCAGGCATCTCTCCAAGCCTAAGTTTGAGAACAGCTGCTGGACTTTACCAGAAGTTGCCATGCCAATAAAATCACTGGCTCAATTTATACAATTTTGAGGCAAGACAGATATAGTAACTGGGGGAATCGGGGCACTCCTCAGTAAGGAGACAGCACTTGAAATAAACCTTGGAGAAAGAGAAAAAATCTGAAACGTGAAGATGAAGAGGGCAAGAACTCCAGTTATGGGTACAGTTTATATGCATAGAAATCAAAAATGAAATGTTGCATTCAGGTTAGTTACTTGTCCAGATTGGCCAGCACGTAGAATAATTTGAAATAAGACTGGAAAGGTAAGTTGGATCCAGATTAAAGGGAACACTAGGCTAGAATTTCTATTTATCTTAGAGGTAATGGGGAGCCACCAAAGACTTTTGAAAAAGGGAACTGATGTTGTCAGATCTGGGCCTTAGGGAGTGATATGGAGGATGATCTGAAGAAGGGAAGCCTTGAGAGATGGAGACCAATGAAGAGGCTATAATAGGTGAGACATGATGAGAACCTGAAGAATTAGGGTAGTAACTGCATGAAAGAAGAGTAAGGGATTAATGCAATGGATATGGAAGGAGACTTGAAAGGACTGGGCAACTGATTGGAAATGAGGAGTGAAAGAGAAGGAAGAGTCAAGTTATGAGGTTATGAATCTGAATGGCTGAGTGGTAATGACCTTTAATACCAGTAGGATAATTTGAAGGTTTGTAAGGGTTTTGTGGGGTTGTGGGGAAGATAGAGAAAATAATGAATTTTATTTTATAATATTTATATATATAAAATAATGTTTATATTATATTAAGTTTGGGACACCTAAAAGCTGAGCAAGTAGAGGTGTTTAGGAGGCAATTAGAAATGTAGACCTATAATTAAGGATAGAGATCAGAACAGAGTGTATAGGTTTGGGAATCATCTTTGTAAAGATAATTGAAGTCCTGGAAGCAGATGAGGTCTAGGTAGAGAGGAAGGAGAGAGGCCCAAGGACAGAATCTTAGGGAACTATTCATACTTTGGGTGCAGGAGGATAAATGGTAATCCATCAAAGAAGACTTGATAAGGAGTATAGGCAAGAGGAGTACTGGGAAAGAGCAGTATCATGATGCCAAGGAAAAGAGGAACCATAGAAGAAAGGGATGGTCAACAATGTGTCAAAAATAGCAGAGGGGTCAAGAAGGACTGTGAAAAGGCTTTCAGATGTGCAAGTTAAGAGATCATGGCTTAACTCTATGAAAACAGTTTCAGTGGCATGGTGGGGTCAGAAGTCATATGGCTAGGGCTTGAGAAATTAATGGATGATGGAAAAAAAAGAGTCAGTAAGTGTAGATGACTATGAGTTTGACTGTGAGATGGAAGAGGAGTACAGAACAATAGCTTGAGATAATGGAAGTCAAGTGAAGATTGTTTTTAAAAAGGACACACATGAAAGTTAGGCTGTAGGAAGTGAGGAGGATGCTGGAAGAAGAGACTGAAAATGACAGGAAGAGGGGTAGTGATTACAGAGGATACAGAAGGAAATGGGGATATGGAGTCACATCTTCCTCAGAAACTGATATAAAGAAGGATCATAGGATCATAAATATAGAGCCAGAAGGAACCTTAGAGGCCATCTAGCAAAACCTTCTCATTTTACAGGTGAGGAAACTGAGAACTAAGGAAATAAAATGACTTGTCCAAGGTTACATACATTATAAAGAGGCAGAAACAGTATTTGAACCCAGGTCCTCTGTGTACAGAGTTAGGGCTCTATCTACTGTATAAAATTAATAAAGATGTAAAAAAATCTTTTGAAGCAATCCATGGGTGGCAAGGAAATTATTTCTCCAAAGATCAGTCTGGAAGAAGATACCAAAGTGAATCATCAAAAAGAACTTAGGGAAGTAGGTTGAGTTTATAAATTATAGGATCTTAGGTTTAGAGCTAGAAGGGACCTTGGAAGCACTAGAGGGAATTTATGTGACCCTGGGCAAGTCATTAACTACTGTCAGCCTCAGTTTCCTCATTGGTGAAATGAAGATAATAATAGCACCTACTCCTCAAGGTTGTTGGGAAAATCAAATGAGATAACGTATAAATGCTAGCTAGCCTTAAGAGTAGAACCGGTTGTAGTAACAGGTTAGTGAATATAATTAATGCAAATTCAGCTGGAAAAAAGAGAAGATGATCGAGGGAAAAGGGTAGGATTTCCTGAGGGCTTGGCAAAAATCAACTTTGAAGAAGATAAAGTAGACAACTTGAAGATTGGCACAGGTTAGCCTGAAGGCCAGAGGAGAAATCTTTGAGGAGCAAGG